ATAAAATAAAATCAATTACCTCATCAAAAAATGCTTTTGTTGGATTACTTGAATTATTTAAACATTTTAATACTACATTGTGCCTTCCATAATAACTAAATTCCTTTTTATTCTCATCATAATCAATTATATAACCCCTTGTCCATTTTGCTTTATAAATTGAACTAAATCCACCTTCAGTTAATTTTGTAACATATTCAAATTGCTCAAAAGGTATCCATTCTAAAATATGTTTAGGCAAAGATGAGAGCATTTGACATTGTTGAATAAAATTATCAACAAAGTTATTATCAGATGTCCAAGTGTCAAAAAGACTCTGTAATTGTAAACTAATACAACCTTCACAGAATCTATCAGAGTATTTTATTGATTTACACTTGCTACATTCTCTTAGTTTGCCCCATTTATAAGTTGCATTATCTAATTCAAAATCATAAATATGCCTTTCTCTACAATATTTTTTTTCATTTTCAGAAAGCTCCTTATTTTTTTTGACCAATGAAAAAAAATAATCTTTTTGACTTTCTCTATTATGTGTATTTGCTAAAGCATCATCATACATTCCTCTACGAATTTTAAGTACAAAACCCCTTCTTTCTGATGATAATAATTTATTAAATGACATTTTTAACTTTGCTTAATATTTTTTAAAAAAATTTTTATTTTATTTTAGAAAATCTTTCCTTTTTCCATCTATCAATAATGGAGAGTGTAACAAACAATGATAAAAAGTTTTGAATTCACTCACACCTCATGGTAACAACAACAATAACCTTTTGTTTATTGGTGTTGATTTAAATTTGATGCAATTTCATCATCTAATATTCTAATTTACAATATGTGCCAAAATCTTGTTTTTTGTTTTTATTATTATTAAATTTTCAGCTGTATGAATTCCTTTCAGCAAATCCCAAATCACTAACAAATGGTCTTTTTGATGGACAATATTTGTGAATAATCATTAGGCATTTCAGGTAATATTAGTAGTCATAAACCTCCTCATATATCTTAAATTAAATGAGCTTTATCATCAAATGGTGCAAAAATTAACTGTAAACATCTGTTCCTTTGTATTATTTTTGCCACAAAGTAGTTCAGGTACAATATGTGATGCAATTCCATAGATTTTATTTTGATCAACTGTGATAATATATTACCACTATGTAACTCACAATGGATTAAGTTTTTATTATATTAAGATTATTTGAATTTCAATATTGCTTTTTGTGTTCCATAATAAACAAGTTCTCTTTTATTTTCATTGTAATCAGAAATGATGTCTCTTGTCCATATGGCAGTATAAATTGAACTAAATCTGCTTTCTGTTAACTTTTTTATATTTTGAAATTGATCATAAGGTATCCATCTATCCATCCTATAATTTGATCCAAAAGAGATGAAAGTTTTTGGCACTGTTGAATAAAATATCAACTATAGTATTTCTAGAAGTCAATGTGTTAAAAATGCAGACTGATACAACATTCACAAAATCTAAACTCTTTAAAAAATCCTTATTTTTTCTAATTTCTCCATTAGACAGCCCTTGTTGCATTATCATATGCTCCATTATAAAATTTATCTTCTCTGTCTGGAATTAATAAGCTATTGACATTTCAAGCTTTATTTTTAATAAACCAAAAATATATCAGCTCTTTTAATACCCCAATTTTAAATTATTAATAATATATGGGCAGACCAGACAAAATGTCACAAAGGAATCCTAGAATATTTTTAAGTATGTGGACTTTGCATAGGGATACAGATAAAGATAATTCTAAATTGTATAAACTGTTTTTACTAATGAAAGGCTTCCTTGTAAGAATCATCATTATCAGACCATATCATTAAATTTTTATTTAACTCGTTTAATAAACAATATATAAATCAAAACTAGGGCTAGATTGCTTAAACTCCCATTATAGGCTGACATGCTCTTCAAAGTATTCGGTGAGCTTGACTAACCCTCCTATCAAGTATTTAAAAAAAATACAACGCCCATTCCAAGCATTCAATGGCTATTTTTTGTGCTTACTGCAAAGAAGAATCTTCTGTGCTGTTTGTAAACCATACCATATGTAATTTTTATTATTGTAGAGACGAGTGAGACACCACGGCAACCACCACTGATCACATTACACGCGTAAACAAGTATGATGAAAATGCGGCGAAAATTATAGTAGATGGGTTTACCGCAGTGTTGTCCACAGATGTTTTCTGCCTTATATTCAACGGACAATCTCAAGACAAAGTCCGTCAAAAATTTCAAATTCCGCGTAACAACTTGTCATGCGTATACACATTTTTTTTAAATGTCCAGAACTTTCATAAGCCACAAATTAATGTTGGTTTTACTATTACTATAATCCTTTTAAGGGAAGTCACGCCACTATTTCTAAAATAATGTATAGAAAGAGACCTTGACAGCCCAAAAAAAAAAAATTCACAAAGATTCCACATAGTGGAAGCATTGGGAATGACAACCGTTTTTACAATAATTTCCATAAAATTTGGCAAAAACGATTTTCATGCCCGATGCTTTTACTATGTGGAATCTTTGTGGGTTTTTTTTCCTACTCCAGTGTAAGTCTATTTTTTTTGTTTACTTTTGATTTTTTTATCATCGATCATAATCTTTTCTAAGTAAATTTATATTTTTGTCCAGATGGGGCAGTCCGCGTTTGGTGACAATACTGATTCACCATGCTCATGTTGCCAAAGACAATAGCAAGCCAATTAGCAATCTGCTTGAATATGAAATAAAATTCAGTAAACACGAATTAGGTAATAGCCTGAAAAAAATCGCTAGTTGATTTCCATTTTGGGAAATTAACCTCTATGTATGTTGTACAAAAAATAATTTTAAAATTAACAATGAACGAGATTGTCATTATAATGGGAGTTCATATAAAAGTCATTATCATATTATTTATAAGTTTTTTTATTTTATTAATTATTTTTGAACATAAAAATCTAAATTAATTTGTTTAGCTTCTCTAAAACTCTGACTTATTTTTTTTAAATTCTTGTAAACTATCTAATAAGTGATCCACCTCTTCTTCTTTAGTTATGTTTTATAGCTTCATCAAGCCAAATTGCTAGAATTTCTTCTAATTGTGGCCAATTTGCTTGCCGACTCTTTTTAAATTGAGAAGTTGAAACAGTTTCATCAACAGAAAGCCATTTGTTTGATTCTGATGAAATTACTGAAACTGTGCTTCGACTAATTTCAAAATCTTTAGCTAATTTATCTCGAGTTAAGCTAGGATCATTTTTAGCACACTTACATAGTTCTTTTTTTGGATGAAGGTGCAGAGGTTGAAGTCATTTTTAAAACAAAATTTAATTATGATTTTTAATAATTCATTGTCTAATTAACCAATTAATCATATTAATCGTTTTATTGTTTCAATTCCCTCTTTATACTTACATGTCATTATAACAGGTGTCACTATAACAGGATAAATAGTGATTGTCATTATAATGGGCATAAATTTGTATTTATAAATTTGGTTTTTTAAAAAATGTCATTATAACAAGATTGTCATTATAACGGGAGTGACTTGTGTTAGTGTTGTACGAAGAACCCTCTTTTTTGGGGAGATAATTTATTTTTTAGACAGTCCAAGACGAGTGAGCTTGAACAAACCAACGAAATTCGAATTGATTCAAATCAATATATACTATCTAATATATATCATGATCTGATTTGATTCAGATCTATATATCTGTTGTATGTGAAATTGAAATATTATGGAGTGGGGTGAAATTCTGATTGGCTAATTTGTGAATTGCGAATTCACATATCTAAATAATTGAAATGCAATTTCTTATGTGTCCTAAGTCTCAGGCGTGGTTAATCTTTTTTTTTGTAAAAATAACTTTAAAAGAATCCTTTTTTAAAAAACTAAAAATATTTATTTTTTCTGCAATTATTTAATAAATAATGCCTTTTACAATTCAGAGTTTAAGTTTTCGCTACAATATAATAATTAAAGTAAATTTTTTAAAGTCACGTTTTTAATAATTCGGTAAATGATGCAATTCACTAATTCATAACAAACATGCTGACAATTTAAAACCAAATGAGAGGCCTATTCATAGAAGAAATTAATAATATCCAAAAGATGGATTGTAATTAGAGAAAAAACTGGGAAGCTGCAAGTATTTTTAAATAATTTATAAACAATAAGGGTTTGAATCTGCAAACATAATTAAAGATAATCCAATTTAATAAAGTTATTGGAATGTATTATGAAAAACCGACATCTATTCTCTTTTGATGGGATCATATGAAAATTTGAATAACTTATCTTATATTACCTTAAACCAGTTACAGTAGACGCTTTTAATAGTGTGTGGTAAATGAAGGATGTATGTCATTCTCTCATAATGATTCAAGTAATATTATACATAAATTGGATTCAGATAATATTCATAAAATATGAAATATTTTAATTTTTGATGAAAAAATCAAAAGTTTATATAAATTCTAAATTTTTATTATATTCGGGGTCCTGCTGAAAGTGTAAAAAGCAATGGTAAAAGGTTGAATTCACTCTCATGGTAACAGTAATAATAACCTTTTGTTATACACCAATGAAGAGTTTACGATTGAATAGTTTATTCATTAGCAATTTCATTCTACTTTTATAATACACTAACGGATGCAATCTGTGTGCCATCATCATCACTATGTTTTAATAATAGACTTGTCAAAGGAGTAGTCCCCTAATGGAACATTACATAAACAATCTGAATTACATATACTTTTGAGAATAACTTTTCTTGGATACTAACAAATTTCGACTTGAGAAGTAATCAAATTGTACCCAAAACTATTCAGACCGAAAATATCCCGCGTGGTTTTAAGTGCATTTCATGTCAAAATGTGCATTCTGTATCAAAATACATTCCACAACTATTCAATGCTGTATATCTTTAAAAAATTTTAATGCCCTCAAATATTGACTCAATATTTCATTGGCCATCCATTATGTTCAGTAACCACTTCAATCAATTTTATTAGGACATCATTTGTAATTTTACTCATCTTTTCGATTTTTGTAATAGTATCTCTTTTATAAAGGTCCTTTTTAACATTTTTATTCAAAAAGTGTATTATCATAAAACCTTAATTTTTTTTTGTCAAGAATATTCACAAGAAAATTTTTGAGAACATAAGCTAATGAATGATATTTTTACTGTGTTTTTGTTTAAAAATACACCATGTAATGTTTTTAAAAACTAAAAATATTTTGTTTTTGCAATAACAACTCAATTATTTAATAAACCATGCCTTTTATAATTTCAGAATTAAAGTCTTTCACCATGACAGAAATTTTTTTGTTAGGTCACTTTTTTCTTCAAACCAAGTTTATTTGCAAGAAGCAAGTAAATTTCCCATCGAGAAGGAAGGGTGAAATCAATAGTGAATTGTTTGTGTTGTTGTACGTGAAAGCGAAATTATGTGAATTTGCAATTCACATTGTGAAATTCAAAATTAGCCAATCAGAATTTCACCCCATTGTTTCAATTTCATACACAACAGGGTGGGCATAATTTATATTTAATTCTTTTCCAACAATGTAATGGAGCCAGTATATTCTCCAAAAACTGGTTAATAATGAATTCCCACAAATGTAACTTTAATAATAATATTAGTAAAGGAAAAAGAAAAACATCAGAATTATTCAAAATAATAGTAAAAATTTTATTATTTCAAAAGATTATTATGATTTAGCTTTGAAATGGAAAGATGAAAAGATAAAATAAAAAAGATGTAATTAATACAACAAATAAATTTATAGTAGAGATTAAATTAATCACTCATTGATAATTATCAACTTCATCAACAACCTCATCTATTCTTTCAACATCTTTTCCTTTACTATTGTAAATAGAATCTAATGTTCATTAATTGATTAAATGAGAATAAAAATACTGTTAGTAATAATTAATGGATAGTAATTTCCAATTAATTAGTAATGAACCTTTTTTTACCTTTAT